TTCAGCAGGTTGTTCGCGAAGAAGGAAATGAGGATTCTGATGGTAGGTCTCGATGCTGCTGGTAAGACAACCATCTTGTACAAGCTCAAGCTTGGAGAAATTGTCACCACTATCCCCACCATTGGTAATTTCACTCTCCTCACTGTTGCTCCTTATTTTCCCTTTTTAGCACCATAATTGCATCTTTTTTATTTTGAATTGTATTTATAGTTATAATTATGATTAACCAAGGTTCGAATCCCTGGTGGATACTGGATAAGTGGCTATATTTAGTGTCCAACCATTTCTTGAACAAGACAGTCTCTGAAGGAGTATATGTATGAAAAAACAAGAAACAAAAAAAATAAATAATAATAATGCTTATGTGGTAATATAATAATATTAATAATTAAAATTCAATCGTGGGGAACCAAGGTTTGAATCCCTGTCGAGAGAGGAGCTACTTCCACTATGGAATCTGATAAGTTAGATTTCGGGTAATTTTTTCACATAATCTTCTACATAATCTTCTATTGTCTGACCATGTTTAGAACAAGATTGACTTCGAATAAGGATACATGTGGAAAACTAGAATAAAAAAAATTATAATTATGTTTGTCACACGCATAAAACTTATTATTCAGATTGGCGTAGTGTTTGTGATTTTCGAATATATGAAAATCTGTACTCGTTACCAAAATTGATGGATCACCTGGGGTGATGATTTTCTGTTATTCTTCGTTATGGAAATTATAATTTATAAGGATGTTAAAAGTTTGCACCTAACGCATAAATGTGTGAGAGAGGGGTTATTTTTTTCGTAATAAATTATTTGTAGAATTTGAATGGTAGCAATTCATTGGTGGTGGAAGCTTATGCTATATGCATGCAAGAGCCGATTTTTAATTAGTGGTATAAGGTTTCAATGGTTGGATCAACAGGAATTACATTCTACTCTATGAGAAGTTATTTGGGGAAAGGGATATAACCATGTAAGAGTGACTAGCCTTTCACAAGTTTCAAGTGATCCCTTTTTCACAAATTTCAATTTATTGATTTTTTTTTCTTCCATTGTGGTATTTCTGGCACTTGTGCAATGATATTATTTATGACCGTGGAAACTTAAATGGTATGAAAGGCTTGATAAAGAAGTATTGTCTCTTATGATTGTACGTGTATAAATTAATAAATTAATGAGAGTCACTTTTTTTCTCTGCAGGATTTAATGTTGAGACTGTGGAGTACAAGAACATCAGCTTCACTGTGTGGGATGTTGGTGGTCAGGACAAGGTAAAGCTGGTCTTCCTGTTTCTTTATGCTTGTTTGTTCATATTTTAAATTTTAATTGTAACAAAGAGCTAGTAAAAGTCATGCATGACTATGAATAATGAACCTCAATCGTAAATTTTCATTCATGTTCTGACTCCTGGCTCTGTTCAAGCCTCTTTTTTTTTTTCTAATGGGATTTGTCAATTTGGGGGAGGCTTTCATATTTCTTACAGGGTTTGGTCAGGGAAAGTGTGTTGGCATTGCTTATGTCTCTATCTCTCTCTCATGGTGATGGGAGTGGGGAATGTGGGCTTGGTCCTGCATAATGTGTGTTATGTGATTGTTTCACTTTCACTGTTATTGAGTGACAAATTGGAGCATATCAATTTTCTTAATTGCTATATCAATTGATTAAGATGATGTATTTATGACTATATTATTCCTTTTTGGCTTTACTGGTGGACCTGTCTTCTTTTGGTTGATATTTAGTATTCTCTAAGCAAGTTCTAAGAAATTATTTATGGCTGTGGCATGTTTGTTAGTGTCCCATTTTGTTTATTCAATTGTCACATCTTTTTGATTTTTTCTATTATAAGGCTTTATGCAATTTTTTGTAATAATTTTAATTGCTATTTGCAGATCCGTCCATTGTGGAGGCATTATTTCCAGAACACTCAGGGTCTCATTTTTGTGGTTGATAGCAATGATAGAGATCGAGTGGTTGAGGCTAGGGATGAGTTGCACAGGATGTTGAATGAGGTATATGGTTTTTATAGCCATGTTACTTTGACTCACATATATCTTGATAGAACAGCAAAGATAAATTGATTTAAATTTTATTAATTAACACTGACTTACATCCGTTTGTCCTTTTGTCCCAGAGTTGTATGACTCCTAGAGATACTGTTCTCTGTCTTGAATTTAGAATTACAACGCACATAATTTCCTCATCACATGTTACTCCTGTATTAAACAAACACAATAACTCCACTAGGCATAACTCTTCATAACTTCCGCTATTACACCCTTTTCCTTTCTATTCCTTTGTTATTTTTTATTAATTTAGTATTGTGTACTTCCTGGTTCTCTTTCATGTTGCATAAGTCTTTTGAAAATATTTTTAGGGGGAGAGGGAGTCGTATTGCTAAGTATGTTATTTGGAAATTGTTCATGGTTTCTTAAGGAGTGTTTATGTATTTTTTAAATACCAAATAGAGAAAACACACAAAAAGGAAAATGAATGAGAAGTTATTACATCATGCATTGATTTTGGAATTTTTTAATTTGTAACCTTTGATAAAAATTTTGTAGACTTGATGGATGTAATTGAAGTGCTTTGTTGCACTATTGACTCACTGACCAAGATATTTATCGTACATTTTTTGTGTGTTGTTTACTCATACTAAGTGCATGGGTAGCATGGATTCATTTTTATCCTATTTCCCTGCTGATTTTTGTTATCTAAATTATTTCTAATTGTTTTACCCAGGTAATGTGTTAGAGTTAACGCTAAAAGACTACAGTGAAGGATTTTCTTTATGTAATTACAGTAATCAAGAATATCTATAAATCCTTGTAGTTATTTATTATGACTTTCGTCACCCTCTATTGTCCAAAATCTACCTGGCCCTCCAACTTTCCTAATGCAATGTAATGAAAAAAGTTTGCTAGTCCTGTGGCTTCCTCTGTGCAATGAAAAAGAAAAAAAAATCAGTCCTACAATCTCTACATTCATATGTCCCATCCTGGCTGGACATGAGGGAGCATGTTGAGATCCCACATCTACAATAGATGTGGCTAAACTAGAGCTTGTAAAAACTTGAGCAGTCCTCATCACACGAATTAGCAATCCTCATTATATATTGGAAAACTTATAATGGTGGTGTTTGAATCTCAATGTTGATTTTGTTTCAGGATGAACTTAGAGATGCTGTTTTGCTTGTTTTTGCCAACAAGCAAGATCTTCCTAATGCAATGAATGCTGCAGAAATAACTGACAAGCTTGGACTTCATTCTCTCCGACAACGCCACTGGTATGTAGATCTGATATGCATGAAAATAAACTTTAAATCGATAAGAATGATGATATGAAATTTCTTGCATATATGAGTGGGAAATTTCGTTCATTACTCTCACTATAATGTTTTTGACCGAAGAGAGTGGCATTTGTGAACAACCTTCTTCCATTCACTGTATTTGATTTATTTCAGGTATATCCAGAGCACATGTGCGACTTCTGGAGAGGGTCTCTATGAGGGTTTGGATTGGCTTTCTAACAACATTGCCAGCAAGGTAAGTCAAGTCTCAAAGCTGTAGCTTTAATTAACATTTTGTGGTTATTTTGGGAAAGTTATTGCTGTTTAGGTGTGTAATGATTTAAAGGAAAAAATGTAGGACGTGTTTAGGGTGATTAAGTCTTCATTTTTTGGTTTTCAAATACAAATCTCTAAAACACCATTCACTAAAATAGAGTTAAATTGATTTTTAAGTCAGTTTTAAAACACTTGTAGCTCTATCTCAGTTTTTGTGTTTAAGTTTTTAAAAAATAATATTTAGATAATAGAAGTGGGAGAAGATGAGTGTAAGGAAGCAAACGTGCACTTAATTTTTAAAAGATGTTCTGTTTTTTTAATTTAAAAATGAGAAGAGGTGTTTGTTTCAAGAATAGAAAGCAAACATGCCCTTAATTTTTGAATTTTAGTTGTGAAAGTAAATCTCATTCCCCATCCCTGCAAAAAATCCATATACTACTATTACCACAACACTGTTGGTCATTAACTCTGCTACTTCCACCGTGGCCTTCCCCTTCTCCCCTATCCCCAAACTTCCATAAAAGTTGACTAGTTATAATCAATGAGAGTTAAGTTAACGAGCAAGTGAGGGGTGATCCGTGTTGTTTGGATTTAAAATTTGGTATTAAGATTTGAAAAATGAAAATATAAATGTTGAAACTAGCTGAAAACTGGTTTGTTTTTAAAATTTCAAAACTTCAAATTAACAACTAATCGAACAAGATCAATCCAAAACTGCCATGGACTATTATGTCGTATGTTAAATAATTATCTGTTTTGTTTTGTTACTAAAACTGTTTCTGAATGCTTTTAGATTGAACAGCTCTCGTTAATGACGTTATGTATGTTATTTTAGATTTTAGATTTGGTGACTTACCAATTTTTTCTGTTTTCTTAGGCATGAGACATTTGAAAATTTTTGGTCTTGTCTGGTGGTTCTTGGAGAAAGATGCTACTTATCCTTTCTAGTTAATGTTGTAATAGCAGAATTCTTATTAGAAGTATTTTCTTCTCGTGTAACTTGGGTTTGTACGATTGCTTAAGTTGGCTAATACTTTTAGCTATAATTGGAACGCTTGCAATCTTCTTCTGCGTGCTCATTTTGTTAGTTGATTATCGGTTGAATATTTCTGCGCCTTTTGTTCTTGGGGTATTGCTGGTGATATCGTTGAATCATGATTGGAAAATTGCACACCAGATTTTGCTCTTGGGCCAAGAGTCACCTATTCAAGTATTATCTTTGCAAAACTCAGCTTACATGTTAAGCATGTGATTAGGCCCGATTGAAAGAAATAGTTTGTGAGAGTTTCTGGACAAATTTATAGAGAAGAGTACTAACAACAAATTATCTAAAACTTGTCTTAAAACACTAAATTTAGTAAAAATTATGCAATTAGTAGTCATTAAATAGGGTCTGAGAGTTGTTAAGTTGTATTTTTCAATAAATTTTAATCAATTAAAGAGTGTGTTGATAACATTTTTTAACTTATAAAATATCTTATAGATAATTTATAAAATGTTTTGATTTTATTTTGATAAGTTGTCCTACCTAGTCTATTATTTAACTTATATGGAAGTTTATCGGGTTATGTTTATCACTAATGTAAATGGTTTTTCTTTCCATTTTTTTTTCATTTCATTAAAATTCACTTTTATATTCGTTTTCAATTTTCATTATTACTTTAGGATTTTTTTAAAAAACATTTCTCCAAAATTTATTCTCCCCATTGTAAAAAATTATCTTAACTTTATTTTCTAAAATAATACATTTGAAATTTTTTTGTCACTAATATTTATACTATTTTTTTAATCATGGTTTTATAGAATATATGGAATTGATGTTTAATTTTTAAAATTTATGATTAATTTTTAATCATGAGTACATATATATATATATAACTATTTCTCTTAATTTATTATTTATTCATTTTTTATCAACTAAAATTAGGTGAATGGTTACTAGTATTCTTTAATAATATTGTGATAATATATAATTTTATTTTTAAAAATTATATAATTATTTTAAAATTTTGTTTTATTTCTAAACAATATTTAATTTGTAGTTTTTAATTTTTAAAATTAAATAATATTTTATAAGTGTTTTAATAGTAACTAGTCGTGTTTTTATATTTTATTTAATAAAATTACTTAAAAATTATCATGTTTGTCAGATTAACTGGTGTTGTACTTGATCTTCAAATCTTAAGATCTCAAGTTAAAAATGTTATAAATTATAGATACACTCAAATACTTTAAAATTGTATAAATGTTTGTTAATATGTATATTCATATGCAACAACTTGACGAATTTAAAACATTTTTAATATAATTTCTTATTACATAAAAGCTTTATTTATAAAATCTAAATTGTTATTTATCTAGACAATCTCTTAGATTCTTTATTGGGAATGTTTTTCATTCTTAAGATTCAAAATTGAGACGACAAAAAGAATTAAACAATTATCTTTTTACCTATCTACTTACTCTTTATTAAAAGAAAAAAAATTATGTTCTTAAATATAAGTAAATTTAACTATTTTTATCTTATTTAATGATATTTTTTTCTAAAGTATTTCTCTTCACCTTTCATTTGTATTATTTCTTTTGACATTTATAATACAGATAATTTAGGAAGAATCATATGAGAGCATTAAAATTTAATACAAATAATTAATTTTTTTAATATGTGTAAAAAATATTTTAATTTATAAAGTTAATCCTTAAACTATGAAGGAGATAAAAGGACAAGGATTTTTGAAATTCCTAATTAAATAGGAAGTATATTTACCTCTAATAGAATTTCATAAACTATTAGACTAACATAAATGAATTAAGAGCAATATATGAATTTAAATAGCTAGATGCAGTTCTTTTATCCTTTAAAAAATATAGAATATTAATGTCTTTATCTTAGAAATTTCATACAAAGGGTTTAGTTGAATAAAATTCTTTTTAAATACTGGAAGAAAAATAGAATTAAAAATTAAAATAAATTTATCTATAAACTATTGCATGAGTTAAAATTTTTTTTATAGAGAAATTAATATTTTTATAAATTAGTTTATGAAAAAAATTATTTAATTTTTTCTTTCTATTTTGTTCTTTTAGTATAAATATTGGTATAGGTATTAACCTCCTAGAGTTACTATTATTAAGTGACTTGATTAATCATTACTTAGCGTGTCTTTGGATATATATATTAATAAAATTGATTTTAGATTGATTTTAATTTGTATAATTGATTTTAAGGAAATGTGAGTCAAAAGTAATGTGATTTTCTTTAAATAAGAAAAATTATGAACATGATTTTCATATTAAATGTTGTCTGAAATTTTATTATCAAAATTGATTTTGAGTATGTAATTACTAAAATAGGCATTCATATTAATATATTATTTTCACATAGACATCTTTGTTTAGATTAATAAAATAAAATTTAATATGTTTGCAATACTAGTTTGTATAAAAATAAATATGTTTGCGAAGCTAATACAATAAAATAAATATAGTTTAGTAGGTAAGTACAAACCCTAAACCTTAAAAGGTACAGGTTATAATGTAATACAACAATAACGTTAAACTAGAATACTAGTTTTTTTTTTTTTTGAATGTATAATGTTATATGATTTTTAAATTTTTTAAAACTTGTAAACTTTTTTATGCATATACATTAAGAATTTTTAATTTAATGATTATATTATTAAAATATAATATAAAATATGAGTTATTGAGTGAAGTAATAATATTTTTTTAACATATTTTTTTCAACAGAAGTATTTTTTGAGATTTTTTCTTAGCCCCTTTAATAATATTAAACTATTTTTATATATTGATGAAAAAAATGTACTTTTCATGAATAAATTAGTCTAGATAAGAATTATTTTAAAAAAATTATCAACAATAATTATCTATATATATATATTAAAATGATTCTCTTAAACTAAAGTATTTTTAGGGAAAACTATTTATCATTATGTTTTATGTTTTCTTTACTAATAGTACTTTTACGAATTTAGGAGTTACTATGTAACATCCTGATATTTTTCATAATAAAATAAATTGTCTTTCATAGAAAAATTATATTATAAGTTTGATTAACTAATTAATTAGCTTTATAATATAAATAATATTTTAATTAATTAAATAAAATAATAAGGTGAGTAATAGATTAGAGAGTATTGGGTTAGACTCTGGTCCAACTCGAAGGTTTATTAAAATGAAATAAAATAGAGGGAATTAGGTTATTACACGTCTTCTAAAAAACTTATATCACACATAAGAGAGAACTTAGAGGAGATCATCACACGAAACACAGATTAGCGGTTGGAGATACAAGGAGTACATTGTTTCGCTAGATTGTCACTCTAGGTAAAGGGAGTGAGATTGTTGAATCCTTGGGAATTTATGAGGGATAAGGGTAGAGAGGCAATCCTTAAATTCTTAGGTTGATAGATTTAATTTGTGTGACTGCTTAGGAATGAGTTAGTTATTGATTTCTTATGTGTTATCTGAACTCCTATACTAAATTATGTTAGATTTATATATTGATGACAAATTGAAGTTATGATGGATTAGGGTCATGTACATGTATAATTGAGGTTTTAAGGTGGTTCAATGTTTTGTATGAGTTAATTATGATAAATGGTTAGAGTTATATGTATGATTTGAGAGTTATGGTGTAGTTTGTTTAATTATGAAAAATTATAGTATGAACTTATCTTGGTATTTAGGTGATTTCTCTGTATATGATTAACCAAATAGAGTTATATTTATTGAGTTAAAAACTAGACATTTGGGATTATATTTTATACTCAAGAATCACCTAAAAATGTTAAGAAACAAGTGAATTATGTGAGTCACAAGATGAGTCTCATGTTTTGTGCATGAAAAGTTACGCCTGAAACTTATAAGCCTTAAAAAGACCCTTAGGTGGCCTAATTAGGTTTCATAATATTTATAAGAGTTGTAGCTTTGGATGTTAGCTTTCCAATGGCGCTTGAATCACCAATAAAAGAGGTTTAAAACTCAATTTATGACCAAATTAGTAAGCAAAGGTCAAATTGACAAAATTAGGCTAAAATACTGTAATTTTGTAATTTTTAAAAATAATAGATGATAAAATCAACTCTTTGAGTCAGTGAAGATATTGTAGATAATTATCTTACCTTTTTAATAAAATTAATATCAAATTTATATCATGAGTATAACTCTAGATATCACATTTAGATCACACAATGTCATAAAAACTCAAGATAAGAAGAGATAATTTGTGAGTGTGTTATTCTTTAAGTGCCTATGAATTTTGTGAAAACCCTTGTTTATAGAGTAATATGTATTTTGTACATTTATTGTGAGTATGAGATGCTATGAGTGAGTCATATGTATGATTGATTGTGTATTGAGTACTGTGATTATGAATATATAAGTGTACGTGAATTCTATGAAAACCCTTGTTTATTGAGCAATATGAATTTTGTACATTTTTTATGAGCATGAAATACTATGAGTGAGTCATATGTATGATTGATTGTGCATTGAGTGTTGTGATGAAATATTATTGAATTGTTGTGGTGAAGTTATTGGGATGTGATGTTGTATGTTGTTATGAATGTGATGAGGATGAATTGTTGAGATATGATGATGTATATTATGATGAATACTATGATGAATACTATGATGAGATGAATAAGTCCAATGATGCGAATTGATACTTGAAGAGATGAGAGTTATGTATATTGTATTTGTTGTGATGTGTGTATTGAATTCATGCATACATGTTTTGTTCATGGGATAGTGTGAGTTTATGTTATAGGGATATCATAGGTTATTTATCTATGTCTCGGGGGTGTTATGGTGAGAAAACCTCTAACAGGAATGGGAGGCTACCATGACCAGCTGTAACATTTCAATAGGACTCTAATAGATAACCCCTGGGTGAGGTGGTTTAAGGGATCACTATTAATGGGTGGTCCCTACACTATTCGATGGAGTGGTTCTATTCCATGACTCATAGGTTGTTCTATATTCTCGATGATGATGAGAAGATTGGTACCACATACATATAGAGTTAGGAGCATTCAATATAGGAGTCTTAATTTATGATTGAATTAAATTGTATGACTTGCTA